GGCAGAGTCTTCCAACACACATGCAAGCAGGAGGGAGAAACCGTTACTGATGGTTATCATCCTCCGGCCCCACGTTTTTCCAGTCAACATCTCTTCCACTGGCGCCAATGCACTCAATGTCCATGGGTGCTGAGCACCTTGGAGTTTGGATACAGGCTCCAATTCAAATCCAAGCCACCCCAATTTCAAAGGATTGTTCCTACTGTTTTGAGAGAAGAGACACAGTGCAGGTCTCTGACAGACGAGGTCTCAGTTCTTTTAGGAAAAGGAGCAATAACACGCCTGCCCTCAGGTTCGATAGGGCAGGGGTTTTATTCAACCTATTTCCTGATTCCAAAGAAAGATGGGGGTCTTCGGCCCATCCTAAATCTCAGGAAGTTCAATCATCACTTACGGAAGGGTAGTCGCATACGGAAGCGACTGCCCTTCCGTATGCTTTGCATTTCAACCCTTTTAACTTTCATCAGACAAGGGGATTGGTTCACAACAGTGGATCTCCAAGATGCTTATTTCCACATCCCAATTCACAAGGACCACAGGAAGTACCTCAGTTTCTACTTTCAGGGCAACGCTTACGAATACAATGTTCTCCCCTTCAGTCTGTCATTGGCTCCCCGCACCTTCACCAGATGTATGGATGCGGCACTCATTCCCCATCGTCGACAGGGCATACGTATAGCCAATTATCTGGATGATTGGTTAATTTGCTCCCCTACAGAGCAACAGGCCAGGAGCAACACAAAAGTGGTCCTAGCCCACCTGCAGAAATTGGGGCTGACTCTGAACAGCAAAAAGAGTTGTCTCACTCCCACGAGGGTAGTGACATACTTAGGCTTGACTTTGAATTCGACTGCAATGATGGCATCTCTGACTCCACAGAGGCAGTCAGTGTTGAAGGAATGACTGTCCAAGTTCCTCAAAGAGGAGCAAGTTACGGTGAGGTCGGGCCGGAGATTGCTTGGCCTGATGGCAGCAGCCAGTCAGGTGGTACCTTTGGGTTTGCTTCACATGCACCCATTACAATGATGGTTAGCAAGACACAAAGTGAGTCCATATGAAAATGGACAGCGACTGATTCCAAGAGACTTGGATTGTCTTCTAGCAGTCAAGTGGTGGCTCTCAACTCCAGGCCTGAAGGAGGGAGTGAAGTTGGGCCCGTTATGTTCGAGAGTGACCATAACAACAGATGCCTCCCTAGCAGACTGGAGTGCTATCTGGCGAGGCAATCCAGGACAGGGAAAGTGGGAAGCCTCGTGGGTAGGTGTACACATAAATCTCGTGGAGCTAGAGGCAGTATTTCGAGCCTAGATCCATTTTCATCCTCAGCTTCAGGAAAAGCAGGTTTTACACTTAAACTGCACTAAATATACTTAAATTGGAACCACTTTAACACAATTTCAATATATTAAATATATTACAAACAGATTAAAATCAAACTTAAACATATCTTGAAATACACTTAATACACTTAAAGTTGTTTCAAAATAATACATTTAATATGCACTTAGTATAGTATAATTTAAATATAGTATGTCTGAAAAAGCACAATTTAAATATATTTCTTTTTCACCTGGGCGGGCTAATATCGTCGTACTTCCTGGTTTTAGTAAGAAATCTAGCTGCTGCATTTTGAAGCAGCTGGAGTTTGTCTATTAAGCGTGCAGAGCAACCACCCAATAAAGCATTACAATAATCTAACCTTGAGGTCATGAATGCATGAATTAACGTTTCTGCATTTGACATTGAGAGCATAGGTCGTAACTTAGATATATTTTTAAGATGGAAAAATGTTCCTAACTGATGACGAAGAATTAACAGAGCAGCCATCAAATGTTAGACAGTGTTTTAGGTTATTACTTTCAGAGGTTTTTGGTCCAATAATTAATACCTCTGTTTTTTCCCCCCAGAATTTAGCAGTAGAAAATTACTAGTCATCCAGTTTTTTATATCAACTATGCATTCCGTTAGTTTTGCGAATTGGTATGTTTCATCGTGCCGCAAAGAAATATAGAGCTGAGTATCAGCATAACAGTGAAAGCTAACAGCATGTTTCTTGATATCTCCGAAGGGTAACATGTAAAGTGTAAAAAGCACTTAGTACTGCTAGTACTGAACCTTGTAGTACTCCATACTGTACTTGTGATCGATATGATACCTCATCATTCGCAGCTACGAATTGATGATGGTCATATAAGAAAGATTTGAACTATGCCAATGCAATTCCACTAATGCCAACATAATTTTGTAGTCTACACAAAAGAATGTTGTGGTCGATAGTGTAAAACGCAGCACTAAGATCCAGTAGCACTAATAGAGAAATACATCCACGATCGGATGATAAAAGCAGGTAATTTGTAACTCTAATGAGAGCAATCTCAGTACTATGATAGGGTCTAAATCCTGATGGGAAATCCTCACAGATACCATTTCTCTTTAAGAAGGAACATAGCGGAGAGGATACTGCCTTTTCTAGTATTTTTGACAGCCAAACATTTGAAGACTTTGAAGGTGTTGAAGTGATTGTGGATGACATTGATTTGGGGGGAGAACAAGCAGCAGCATGATGAGAGATGGGACAAAGTAATGCAGCGCATCAGAAAAAGAATATAAAACTAAATCCAGGGAAATATACATTCAAACTAAAGTCGTAAGCTACATGGGTGACTTGCTGACTGCGGATGGAATTAAACCAGACCCAGAAAAGGTGGCTGCCATCAGGAACATGCATATACCACAGAACAGAAGAGAGCTGCAACAGTACCTTGGCATGGCCAGATACTTTGGAAAATTCATCCCACAACTGTCTTACGTCACAGCCCCTCTAAGACTCCTCTTGGAAAAGACCGCAGAATGGTGCTGAGAAGAAGCTGATGACCAGATTTTTGAGGAATTATGAAGAATGGTCTCAGAAACAGCTACTCTCAAATACTATGATCCAGTAATCCCAGTGGCACTCAGTGTGCATCCAGTAGGTGTCCAGTAGGGTAGGTGTTGTGATACTTCTGTAAGAATCTATAGTCTGCCCCGACCCAGATTCCACTCCACAATATGTGTTTGATCATGCTCATTTCCCAAAATGGCTTAATTATTATAGAGAAGAAAGTCAACAGTTATGTTTCTAGACCATTTGGGATGCTCACATCCTGAGCAAATGGTGACCAATTGTAGAATGAGAGCGGGTGTGGGACACCGAGAACCACCTCAGACAAAGGGGTGTCAGAACTTAATTAACATACAGACCACAGCTGTTACAACAGGAGCAACTTCATCAACATTAAGGGTAGTAAACTGTAAGTGTATAAAAGGTTTGAGCTTAGGATGTTTGGGGTTCATTCTGACTCCGTTGAACCCAAGGTACTACATGTACTTTGTCACTGCTATGCTGTAATAAACATTTTCATCGAGATCTTCAACATCCTCATCACTTTTTCTTACACTTCGAAACAACTGCCCCATAGCATTTGCTTCCAAAGCATTTTCTGAAACACAGAAGCGCTGGGCACAAATTGAAAAAGAATTGGCAACTATTGTATTTGGATGTGAAAAATGTTATCAGTACACATTTGGCAGACACTTCACAGTAGACTGACAGTAGATCACTTAGAAATGATCATGAAAAAAAAATAAACCCTTGCTGACATTCCTCTCCAAAAAATTAAAAAAAAAAAAAAAAAGCGCTGCTGAAACTTCCGCAATACAACATGACAGTAACATATAATAAAGGAACGGAGCTCCACATAGCTGACGCTTGAGGATCCTTCAACAATAATAATACAGAAACGTCTGTTATAGGCCCCCGCTCTACATATTTTATTTAACCGTAAGCTCAATAAAATTATTGTAGGTTAATGGCCAGAACACGTCTCAGTTCAAACACTGGCCTACATAAGCATCACTAATTGCACAGGTTCACAAGTGAAATGTGAGAGAAAATTTATTTTACCTGGTTGTTGTTTTAAACCATGTCTGTGAAACCGGGGATTAATGTTCTAAGGCTAGTCCCAGATTAAAATGCATGTTTGAGCTGTCTCAACTGAAAAAAACTTGCTCTGACATCTCTTAAAAAATGTCAGTTCCATTGTTCTGTCTCAAGATGCACATATGTAATGTTTTCTTCTAAGGCATTTTTATAAAAGCTGCTTAAATATCTTAATTTAACTAAGGCCTAGTCCTGGTTTAAGCTAAGCCCCGTCTGTGAGAGTTTTTCCACACGCTTTTCCACTCCACTGCACTACCTTTGTGCTCTACAATGTCTTGAGCATGACATGGCATTCTAAAAACGAGGCGCTCTAATCAAAATAAGTTTAAAAGTAAAAAAAAAAAAAAAAAATATATATATATATACCTTGCAACTCCCCCTCAAATTCCACTGACTTGTGTTTTTCCAATCAAAAACATGTTGTGTGTGACTTGTGAATGCCTTTTAGAATGTCCTGCACCATACACCGCGGGGGCTGCGGAGGTGTCCTGTTTGCCCATGCTACTCCGTTGCACCAAAGGTACTACATGTACTTTGCCACTGCTATGCTGCAATACACATTTTAATAAAGATCTTTAACTTCCTCAATTATTATAATTTTTTTTTTACAATAGCTGTAATGAAGTGGGAAGCGAATTAGGAAGGAGGATGCAGGAAATACTTTTAATTTACAAAATAACCTAAAACAAGTAGCAGCTGCTTCACAGCTGACTACTGCTGCACACAAACATAAATTGCCCCAGGCCTAGTCCTCTCTCCCTCCACTGTCATCACTCCTCCTTTCAGTTTATGCTTCCAAATCAAGTCAAGCCTTTATTTGTATAGCGCTTTATACAATACAGATTGTCAAAGCAGCTTTACAGTGTCAAACAGGAAAATAGTTTGTCAATAATGCAAGAGGACAATAACAAAGCCATTTTTCCAGCTTAAGTCAGTTCATTGATGATTCAGTGATGTCATCATCTTCCAGAGCTCCCCTTCATCCTCCCCCTCACATGGCAAATACAAGTGCAAACCTGTGTTCAAATTTAATATTTATTCAAGTCTCATCTGATTGGAAATGCATTCATACAAGAAATTGCACACAACCCGATTACACTTTTCACCAAAATATTTCTTTTTGGATTTTCAACCAGATCTACTGAAAATGTCATTGTGCTAGGTAATTCCTCAAATTAACAATGAAAAAGTATTTTATACAGTGAGATCATGCAAGATTTTCTATCAGAAATAATTAAATCCATCCGTTAAAAAAACAACTTACAGCAAACAGTATAGACATGCATTATTTACACATTAAGGTCTATTGGAATGGGAAACATTCTGTACTAAATCACTATAGTTAGCTAAGATGGATATTAATATATGATCAGTACATGTCCCTTAGTGTAATGTCCCACAGTCCATTACTGTCTGGGAGGTCCCTAAATCCCTGACATTAGGCCTCATCTTTCAATAAAAAAAATATTTAAAAACAAAAAAAAGTATATTTTTAAGACATCTATATTTTTAAGACAAGTATTTTTGATTAACACAAACCTATTTTTAAATCATCACTAAAAATGAGAGATGTATGGCTTTAGGAATATCACTATTTAGATTAAAAAGCACCAAAACTCCATTCCTACATTGCCTGTGAAGTCTTTTGCTTGTTCTAAAATTCACAACAGTTATATAAAATATAATTATATACATACACTAACCATACTGACATGCCAAAATTCATGAGTTTCGCTAACAGAATACTGGGATGTCACAAATCGCAGGACTTCAATTCCATCAACACCACAAATCCAGATTTTCAGTGCTGGCAAATCCTGGATTTTCTCGAATCTTCCAATAAGTTCCATTTGTCACCCACACCTCTCTTCCAGCGTGATCTATGGTTTTTCTGATGAAATATTTGTACATCGTTTTAAATAAGGTATTTACAATTCCACTTTATTAGTTCATGAATGATCTATGTTGATTCACTCTGAATATGCAGAAGTTCATGGCTATTTTTAAATATTTATATTATTTGCAGAATATATTCCATTAACATATGTGGTCCTCAGACATATTTAATTATAAATCTGAGGATTAATTATTTTCTTCAGATTACCATCAGATTTTAGAAACAGAAATATGGAATAAATATTGGGACTCACACAAAGAAACGTGGAACATGCTCTTCACCCTTCTTGGTCATTGCCTTCCGTCTTTCACGTTGTTTCTCCTCTATTTCATCCTTACGTTTATCGGCTTCTTCCACTTTGCCATCTTCAAGAAGCCTATAAGTAAAAAAAATTGCTAACACAAATACATCTCAATATCTTCACTTGCTATGTTATATGCACTAAAACAATGACATTCAAGTAAATTTGACCAAAATGGCAAACTACAAAACTTTGATAACTGAAATGAGTATACCAGTTACAATGAATAAAACCTTATAGGTATACTCAGGGATTAAAGTTCCGTCAGTTCATAAATACAGTCACTTGCTTCATTCCTGAATGATTCAGCCGTTCGAACGAATCAATTTAATGAATGATTCAGTGATAAAATCAGTGACTTGCTGCCACCTGCTGGCGGATTTAGTTTCATTTTTAGCATAATTTCTGTATTCACAATTTTATATTTAAAACATTAATCTCCACATGAATTTATGAATTTAATTGCACTCATGCTACCTCTGATCCTCATTAAACGATGAATATTTTAAATATAATTTCAGTTATTTAAATCATATTTCTGTATTCAAAATTTTATATGCTGAAAATGAAACTAAATCCGCCAACAGGTGCAAATCACTTATTTTTATCACTGAATCATTCATTCAATTGATTCGTTCGAATGGCTGAATCATTCAGGAATGAAGCAAGTGACTGTCTTTATGAACTGACGGAAATCCGTTGTAGCGACGGAACTTTAATCCCTGTATACTCCACCCAAAAATGAAAATTCTCTTATTTTCTCATCCACATGCTGTCCCAGATGTATAGACTGATTTTTTTTTTAGATGATGCAGAAGCACTGTGGACTGTTACATAAAGTTTCAAAACATGCTTACATCACACATCTGTAGAAAGAAAGTCATGTACATCTGGTGATGAGATGAGGAGAGATTTTGCATTTTTGGGTGGAGTTTCTCTTTAAGTATCAAATAGTGTAAAGTCCATTTCTTAACCTGCAATACAAATTAGTACAACTGTTAGAGAAAGGTGATGCTGACACCAATCTTTACAAATTATTTACTGGCAATGATGCTTCAGCCAAGGTTTTGAAAGTACAAATTACAGTGCAAAAGGTCAAATAGATTGTTTTATCTCTAATTACTGGACACATACCTTTGGTCTGGACGGAAACGAGTGTCTGTCGGGGGCAATTTATTCTTTATATCAGGCGTCAGTTCATTGAGCTCTCTGGCATACTGGGAGAAGCCATAGTAGTCAAAGTAATCATCTGGTTGAGGATCTGTGAATTATGATAGAAACAATCTAATTCAACATCCAACTAAACAATGTAAATTGGTTAAGAATATTGTGTGCATGGTCACTTACTGGGCTTCCAAATGCATTGTGGGTTGGGAAGTGTATCACAGAAGATGCCTTCATGCCATGATCCCCCGAAGCGGTGAAGCACTCTGCCAGCACGGTCAAGGACAGTGCCCTGCACTTCATTCTTGCTGTTTTCATCACCCCAGTACCGCGACTGGACAAATGAGAACTACATTAGGTTTATATACACGTGTGACTATTTTACGTAAAGCTGGAAATCTGGTCTTAATTTGTACAAAGATTCTTGGTTTTACAGTGTCCTCCACAAATATTGGCACTGCCAAACAACTCCTTTTTTACTGCCTCCACATTGTGATGTAACTTGCACCCAGTGTTGGGAAGGTTACTTTGGAAATGTAATAGGTTACAGATTACAAGTTACCCTACTTAAAGTAATTAATAAAATGTAATAAGTAGTGAAAGTAATTAATAAAATGTAATAAGTAGTGTAACTTTTCAAAGTAATGTAACTGATTACATTTGATTACTTTTTGATTACTTGTCTAATATTTTCAACTGTTAATCATTTTCAAACTTTTAGAAATGTAAACCAGGCAGGGTTAAACTTACAATATGTGCTCAACACTGATAACTGTCAGACTTTCGAAATCCTTCATCACTTGAATAAAGATTATAATATTGTAATTTTAACCCTTTAACTGTCCCCCGTCCCCTCTGTGGGACGCCTAAGTTTACTTCACTATATTACAATTAAATCCTAATCTAATCATGGCAAACTATATATCATGGGAAAGGTCTAAGACTCCTAAATAGATATTTTACCAATGTTTTTGTTAAAAATCAGTTAAGGGGTTAAAGGAGACATTGGATGCAAAATATCTTCATTACATATAAATGTGTCTTTGTAGGGTGGTTCTGTCCACACACTGCTATGATAAAAATTCACTCCTTTTTTTTTAACCCCTCAAAAACCTAAAGAGTCTCAATTATCAAGCCATTTTGATTTTGGAATGAATACCAGCGCTCTCTTCCACCTTCAGCGGGATCGGGAAAGGTCCGATTTGAACATGGGACACCTTGTCAGCGCGCTGCCCACAAGGCTATCGGTGTCAACACAGTTTTTATTTTTATGATTATTTGCGAATCGCGTTTGCTCTTCCACAAAAGAGAGGGGCGGGGTGAGCAGAGCTCATTAGCATGTAAAGAGATATGCACGGAAACGAGTCGCTGTGAACAGAGCTGTTTTTGACAAGGTAAAAAGGGTGTTGTTTTACACGACCACTGAGACCATTTCAAGAATACCCTAAAGAATCATACCAACGTGGAAAATGGGCATCCGATGTCCCCTTTGAAGCTATATAAACCCATATAGGAAATAAAAGAGTTATCGAATAAGCTTGTTCTAAACTCCTGAAACATTGTTGTTTCATATTTTAGAGCAGTCACTGCAATTTATGAAAGAACTCAATTAAATATGTATGTGGGAGTGTTTGTGAAAAAAATCAGATGTAACCCCCTTTGTAATCCTTAACATTTTCATAAGCAACTGTAATTTAATTACATATTTTTTCTTAGTAACTGTAACTGATTACAATTACTTTTATTTTGTAATTAAATTACGTAATTCCGTTACATGTAACTAGTTACGCCCCAACACTGCGTGCACCTGATCACCTCCACAACAACACATCAGTTCTTACTCTACCTGATCTCCCGCCCAGCAGTGGTGAGCAGTTAGAGAGTGGGGTATATACCCACATTTGTAGTCTTTGTACTTGACCACTTGTCTGCTTACATGATGTATTTCCTGTATTTGGCCCAAGTGTTCAAGTGGGCATAAATTATCGGGTAATGAGAAGTTCTACATACACTTGTGATCACAAGTGTCTGTAGAACTTCTCATTACCCGATGAGACACACTTATAGTGTTGTAAAAATGCAAGTGCTTATTTTCATTTTCAATACTTTGCATTTAAAAATAAACTTCTGAATGTCTGTTCAGTAGTCTCTATAACAGATGAGATAATTTATTAATTGTGGTGCTTCTAATTAAGTGATAAAAAGCAGTTGCAAATGTTGTACAAAAACATACAAAGTGCTGCACGTTTTATTGGTGCACAGATGAGTGTTTTACTACCAGTATAACTTATTGATTATTTTCTATGTAGTGAACTACACTATATAGAAAGCTTTGCTGGGCTGTGAGATCTGGGCTTCACCTGAGATTCAGAGCCAAATTAGAGGGGTAATAATGACTTCAGAAAGAAGGCAGCATCACTGTTTTTACACAGAGATAGGTAGGTCTATTAGTAAAATCAGTAACACTTTACAATAAGGTTCATTAGTTAACTAATTTAGTTCACATCAACTAAGCATGAACAATACTTCTACAGCATTTATTAATCTTAGTTCTGTCATGACAACTCTCAGAGAGATTGCCATGGTAATGTACATGACAATGTTAATGTATTTGGTCTTGGCGGAATAGATCTGCTGCTGCTGCTGTGGCAGAGCAAGTACCGAGACTTGCTACTGCCAATACAGCCACAATATGCTGCTGTGAGCATGTAAGAAATATTGCTGCTGCAAATATAACATTCATGTATGCTATATAGGGGTTATTTCATGTATCACCTCGTAGCAGATGGTGGAGGGTTTCTGAAGCAAGCTGCAACTGCTACGGCAAGCACTAGTCATATATTTGAATGTTGAGCAGCGAGCTCATTGGCTACCGATACAGGAGAGAACCAATCAGCTGTGCCAAGTGATAACGATGTCATTAGGTCAGATTGAGGTAGACCTATCGGACTGCGCCATCTACAGTTTCATGCCAGAACTCCGTATTTAATGTTAATTTCAACATTTACAGTACTAATGCATTATTAAAATCAAAAGTTTTGCTTGTTAACATTAGTTAATGCACTGTGAATTAACATGAACTAACAATGAACGACTGTATTTTCATTAACTGACAAAAACTAACAATGAACAATGTTTATTACGTTATTAATCTTTGTTAATGTTAGTTAATACATTAACTAATGGAACCTTATTATAAAGTTACCGTAAAATCTGTTGACTTTATTAATCTTTGTTGCAGAATGTGCCAGTGGTCAGGGAAAAAGGAAAAAAGGGGAAAACCCCTTCTTGTGTTTTGGTGTTGTTCTAATGCCTTTGTTTTTCAGACCACAAAAGGAGAAATAAAAAAAGCTTATGCTGGTCCATTTGATGGGACTGACTTTTTTTCTATCTTGTGAAAGCTTGAAGCTGGTCACTATTCAATGTATCACAGATCAAGTATGTATTAGATACACAAACATACCGGTTCGGTACGTACCTCTGTTTTGACGTCACAGTTCGGTATGGTTTTGGTACAGCAGGGGGAAAAATTACTAACATTTTCAGTACGAATACGTGTATTGTTACACCCCTAATATAAATTACCCAAGTCTTCTGAAGGCACACAATAGGTTTAATAAAAATTTTTTAAAAAGCAGTAATGTAATTTATATTTATTATTATTTAGCAAAAATTCCAACCTGTAATTATTTAGCAAAAATCCTGACCTTGGCCGATCTGCTATAATTGACTGGGTGTTCATGAGACTATTATAGCGCAGCAGAAATGAAGATCATTTCATCTTGATTTAATCATTTGATTTAAACAAATGTGAATGTGAGAACTTTTCATTTCTCAAACTGTCAACTGAAAACTAGAATTCTAGTCTGGAGATATTCACCTTAGAGAAGAAAGAAACATTATATACTAGGGGTTGAACGACTTCTGATTTTTTAAAGTCGACTTTTATGTGATGACGTCATTAATGAACAAATAAGTCTGGAGCTGTGACAAACACCTTGTGCACAGCTATGGCAGATGACAGCGCTGCCCACATGGCTATTGCTCCTATAACAGCTAATTTTTATCAGTTCTTTGTCTTTGGGTCGTTATATTTCTCAGATTTCTGCTCGTTCTAAATCAGATACAGATAAAGTAGCACAGTAAAGATTACATTCATATGAATGCATTAGTGAGAGCGATTGCGTGTGTGAATTAATTCTACCTGGCAGCGTCTCTCTACTAGTAGTGAAGCTGTGGGATTTAGTTTTTAAGAAATATATGCTTTAACTTTTCAGTTTCTAAGCTATTTTATTGAGAAATCACAGAACAGTGTTGACAATACATTTCCGCGCTGAATGATTCTGTGCGCGTCATGTACGCGCTACTGTCTGTAGCCTATGTGTGTGCGTTACAGTGCAGCAGCGCATTAGATTAGAACGGCGATTAACTTACCTGTACAATAAGCTGTTTAAAACGTGCATCTTCCCGCTCAATCTCGAGCATCCAGTAATATAAT